AGAAAGGCAAGGCAAGGCAGGAAAAAATTACCACTCAAATTGGTTGTAAAACATCTTTGCAATTTTGCTTGGCTGTCTTCAAAAACCGAGTTTGCGAATCTTACAGCAACGCTGATAACCACCCTAATGATCCCCAAACATTGTTTCCCTGACATCCTTTGTGTCACGAAGCCTGCGCAGAAAGATCCTGCAAGTCAAGGCACCTGAATGAAGTTCCTCTGGCCTTCAGCCCCCCCTTACCCCAACCCAAACTCACCCCTGATACCGGGTGCACCGTCCAGCCCAGTTCGGCGGTGGCCGTGGTGGAATCCATCAGCGTCTCTGCAGGAGGAGAGGAAACAGGCAGATCTGGTTAGTTCCATCGTGTTCCCCTTTGCTCTTGAGCTAAAATGCCCGGATAACATTGAGGAATCTCTGAAAAACGTGTTATGCAAAGGAACCTTAAGGCCCATTTGGGCCTCAGTTCTTAAAATCAGAATACTGATGATCAACTCAGATAGAAACAGCTCGAGTAATTTCAGAGTCCGCAGTCAGAGAAGTGCTTTTAGAATACACACTTAACGCATGCTTTTGTCTGTCTTTTTTTTTAAATCCTAATTCGCCTTCAAGCAGGTATGTAAGTGAAGGCCCGTGCAAGATGCCGTTTCTGCCCTCCCTCGTGCAAACGTACCAGGAGCAAATGCGACTCAAATGTGCAAAGGGCCAGATAGATTTCTTTTTAATAAAAAAGTCAGCAAATCAGACCGTCGGTTTCCAGGTCAGTTCTCCAAGCGCCCAACCTGTGCTGGCATCTTCTGCCCCACGGGCAACTATCCCGATGGAACGGTTTCAGAAACTGGTGTCTGCGCTGGGCAACCAGCGGAAGGAGCTCAGCCTGTTGACCTGCCAGGCCTGTCTTTTGGCGCTCCCGCGGGACCTCTCTTTATCTGCGGATCCACACGCCGCTGCGCCTGGCGCTTGGAGGAAACCAGCACAGAGGGGACCAGGCAGGCGCTGGGCTGGCGGGCTTCCCACCCAGAGCCTGGTCAGCCGAGGCAGCCTGTCATGCCTGTGTGTTAACCCCCACAGCCGAGACAGCAGAGATGCCAAGGCTAAATTCTCATCTTGGCCCAGATGCACCAAAACTACAGCTTTTAAAAAACTGGGGGGGGAGAGAAAGAGGGGGGCTAGGAAGGCCCAGCCTGGAATGGAAAGAGAATCCCCTTAAGCCTTAATGCCCAAGACTTGAATGGGGAAATGCCATGGAGGGCAGGGGACATTGGGGACCACTCTGGATCCTCTGCTCTGAATCCAGGTGGATCCCCCCACCCTCTCCTTCCACATTTAGAGGGGTTCGCCAGGGATATGAACGTCCCCGCTGACATTGAGGCTGCCCCCCCCCAAGCTATAGGGAGTGGAATTAATTGCCAAGATAATTAAAACCTTCACCTTTCTCTCCCCACCAGCTTTTGTTACCTGGTTGGATTCTTCTGGTTAAAAGTGATCAAACCATGACAGGCAGCGCAGGTCAACATTTATGGGCCCATCTGGTGACAATCACGGCATAGGGAAGATTGCAACTTGGGGTGTTGGCGGAGGAAAGGGGAAAGAGTGTGAATTAAGGAAGGAAATAAATGAAAGAGAGAGAGAGAGAGGAGGAGAAGGAGGAGGGTCTGAGAAACAAAGAGGGGAAGGATGGAACGGATCTGAATGAAGGTAGTTGGATCTTGGGGTGTGGAATTGACGCAGAAGTGAAAGTGGAGGTCTATGAATCAGAGCCAACATCAGAAAGTCCTCCTGTCACCTCTGTTGTAGGCCCACAGGGCAGTAGGAGTCAGGGTGTGGTCCAAAAAGTCAAGATCACAGCTGCAACAATGCATCAAAGCTCCATCATGGCCACCATCTTGACTTTCTGGACCTGATCGGAATCAACAGGGGCCTCTGTGACAGTTGCGTGTCATGTTCCAGTGAGGGTCACCCTATGGGGAGAGGGGGAACGTCAGCAGGAGCAGATGCCAACATTGTAGGGGAACTGGGGCAACGTTGAAGAAAACCATGAACTTCAGCTGTTGGTCAGAAGACCTGAGGACAAGGACCGAACCTCTCAACCCACGAATAAGGTCCACCACCGTTTCAACTGGGAAGCGGTGAATATTTTAGACCTGGCCAAATCTGGAAATGCAAGGAATCCTTAGAAGCTTGGCGTTCGGACAAATCCGCCATCCCCAGGCGCCTGGAGAGAAACCCCATCTATGAACCATTTCAAGATACGACCAAAAGTCAAGGGAGAAAGGAAGCAGCCCAGAAGATATGGTCTCCAGCAGCCAACACCCAGCGAAGCAGGAGACAGCGTCAGGGAAGAAGGGCAGAAAAAGGTGGGTTTGTTAAAAAAACATTAATTTAAAAATTATGAAAAGGAATTCACTTTCAGGAGCTGCAGGTTGCTTCATCGGGAGCATAGGATAGCTAGACTAGTGTAGGATTTCAACTGGGGCGAGGTGGGGGTGGAAGTCCTGGGAGATGGACCTCAACACCACACACTAAACTAGGCTTATCAAATATTCAGGCAGGAACAGATGGGAGGGCACGTCAGCGGCAGCCTTCGCCCGTCTCCTCCGGCGGGATTGGCCCGCATCGCAACCAGCCCCATGTGAAAGAGACACCTGAGTGTGGCAGGGAGGCTCAGAGGTGCCTCAACCACCGTTCGTCTGCTGGGCGTTCGACCTGCCCTACGTCCACGAATCCCAGGGTTGCAACGGAAAAGAAGTTTTCCAAAGTTCTTCCAGGACATTGGGCCAATCGAGGCTACAAACGATGACTTTCTACCTACGTGGACCTGAGAGGGGTCTTCAAGTGGTCCTTCAGCAGACGGGGTATTGCCTTCCTGGCCCTGCCAAGGGTTGACCTCGATCCTCAAAGCCAGTGTTTCTCAACCTCAGCAACTTTAAGATGCGTGGACTTCAGCTCCCAGAATTCCCCAGCCAGCATGGCGGGCAGCAGCCCAACAGGGCTCCAGGCAGAGGTTCCAGCCCTGCTTGGATATGCCAAGGGTTGACCTCGATGCCAACACTAGGCAAAACCAGGATTCTATCATGGTCTCTCTGGACATCATCTGCAGGTCTTCTGAGACGGAAACCTTGGCCAACAGGGAGCAGAAGGTTGAAATTAAACCAAGCAGATTCAAGCTGTGTCTCAGAGGGTGTTTCCTGACTGGAAGAGTTATTAAACGGTGGGAGAGTCTATCAAGAACTGGGGGAGGGTCTCCTTTCTCATGGGGGCTGGATGGACATGGTTCAGGGGTTCCTGCACTGAGCAAGGGGCTGGACTAGGTGACCTTACAAGGTCCCTTGCAACTCATACATTCGGTTGAGCAAGCCATATGGCCTTTAGATAAAACTAAAGGTCCCGTTTCCCCCAAGTTATGCCCTGCTGGCTTCCTGTTCAGGGGGTCTGCCAAAATAATCAAGATCCCAGCCACAACTGCACAGCCTCCATCTTGACTTTTTTGACACGCCCAATGGATGTGCCCGAACTGCTTCCTGGGCAGCGAGGTTTTCTACCTCTTTCTCCCGATGATTTATTTTTTTCAGTGGCCAATGCAGCCTACAACCTTATGATTTCCTTGTGGTCTCCCATCCCTGCTTCACCCTGAGGCCAGCCAAGGTTGCGCGATGCCACCACCTGCCCTAAACCAGGGCTGGCAAGTTTGCAACTGAATTTAGGCAGCCTTCCACATCTGTTTGAAATCCTTCAACAAAGGCTCCTTTCGTGCTGCTTAAGAGAGAGACGTGTTCAAGATGAAAGGAAGAAAGAATGAATGGAAATTAATAAGAAAGAGAAAGTGTGTTAGATCTGTGCACCAAACCATGTTTTACTGAGTCAGTCCTAATCATCTGGGTCCACCCCTTTTGCTAAACCAGGATTGCAATCCCCAATGTCTGTTTTCATGCATTGCTGCATGCCGGAAGCAAAACCAGACACTTTTATTCTTTTAGCACAAGATCTGGTCCCAGACAAACCAATGTACCGGCGGTTAGGCTGAGCTTACAAACTAAGGCTGAACTAACAAAACGCCCTTAACCGTCATTGAAAAACCCAGCAGCCACATTTTCACGATCGTCTAAAGTGAGATAATATTAACCTTGTTTTGCTTGTTTGCATTTTGAAGGCTTGGTGGACGCTGCGAAGCCCACAAAATCAACCTGGGAACCGAGCGACGCGTGTTCTCCGGAAGCCCGACTGAGAGAATGCAGGTTTGCTTAATAAATTAAACAAATTTAAGATACAAAATTTGTTTAATGAAGGAATAATAAACAAACATGCACAGGAATCGAAAGAACTGGCTAACAGATGTGCTTCCGTCCTGCTGACTCAGGGCAAATGATTAATGAGCTTCCAGAAGAATAGGAAAAAAAATGTGGTTTTCAGATACAGCCATTATGGATGATGGTGGGAATGTGGAGAGATAAAGTCCCTGGTGCTGTAAAATCCAAGGATGGAAACACCTTTTGAAGGATTCCAGGAACATGTAAGAGTCATGTCCTGGATTCAAGTCCCCCCATGATTTCATGTGAGGTCCTGAAGGACCACAGCAGCTTCCTCCTTCTGGGTTAAGGGAACTGCAGCCCCCATCATCCCCAGCTGGCCAATGCAGAGGAGGCAGGAGAAGGCTCTCCACGCAAATTGCCAGCACTGCAATCTTTAAGAGTCCGGCCAGGGCAGGCTTCTGGGCCAGGGAGGAAAGGGCAGCTGGGAGATCCGGCATCGGGGTGAGGCTTGCAAATGTTTCCCCACACGGATACTGGGGCAGGGCCCCTGGAGAGAAGCATTATGGCCCCCAGCCAAAGCACACCAGGAATAAAGAGAAGTAAAAGGTCTCAGCAGAAAGGTCTCCCAGTTACTGGCCCCAAATGTCTATTAAAAAAAAGTCTGAGCAAGGAAGGAAGGAAGGAAGGAAGGAAGGAAGG